ATCCTTTGGGGACACATTCAAAGACACTGCTAGATAGGGAAGAATGGGAAGCCCTTCAAACCAAATAGTTCTGTCTTCATCTCCTCTGTACATGAGGCTTTCCATTCTCATATAAAGAAGAACCTTTCCTACAGCTAAAAAATTAGTTTGCCAACTGTTGATAGAGTCCAATGACCCAGGCAATTTCTGAATACATTCTGCAGACTATTAACAATAAGCACAGATAAACACATAGATCTATGTGGTTCCTAATGTTGTGATCCTAATTTGTAACCACAGTAAAGTATGTTTAGGTAACTACTATTAGCGGAACAGTGTACACAAAAGATTCAACGTCATATTTGAAATTAGAATTTTCTGAACATATTCTTCCTCTGGAGGTGGGGTGGGAGGGGACACATTTTTTCTTGGGTATGAAATCTGGTATCAGTAGAATTACTGAAAGCCTTTGTGAAGTGGTAATTTTAGGTTTGCATGTTGTGACAGCAGGTGGAGCTAGTAGTAGGAACTTTATTTCTAAACTATTGAAAGAGCTAGATGTATACAGCTTACGTTAATGTGTTTTCATTGTAGAGCTTCCGGAATAGCATGTTATTATGTATTGGCTTTGGAAAGTGATTGTATTACTACAACATGAGAGCTGAGCTGAATGGAAACTTCTCTGCATTTTAGAAAAGGGGCTTGTGTTTGGATAAGGGTTGTCTTGGAAGACTAAGACAAAGACATAGAAGGGAGGGGATATGTTCACACAATATGTACTTGATGAGTTTAACCTCTAGTCTGTGGACTTTAAGAAATAAAGTATATGATTGTGTGGGAAAATAGTATGAAAGAAATTGATTGTACATACAGAGTAATTTGTGTTACTGGATGTCTTTTAAGTGATAATAGGCATTCAGTTTAAATCTACACACATTTTCTAGTAAAAGCTAAAGAACATTTGTTTTTATCCTGCAATAGTGTGAAATAAAGACCCGAATACTTCATAGCTGCAAATACTCATGAGTTACCTGAACGTGTAATTTAAAAGATGTCACCACTCATGTACTTTTCTTTTCCTGTGAGTTAACACAACGAACCATAGAATTGTGCTTTTTTCCCTTTATCATTTCTCTAAGTCAAATGCAATGATAAGAGAAAATATTCTGGATGTAGTTCTCTCTGAATTTTGGTTGGTTTTTACTACATCGTGTTTTAAGAATTTGGGTTTCTGAAGTGATTATTTTGCTGGCTATGTGAATAGAAAGTGACCTACTTTTTGGCATTCATATACAGAATAATAAGATCATTTAAAACATTTTTTTTCTTTTTTTTGAGGCAGAGTCTTGTTCTGTCACCCAGGCTGGAGTGCAGTGGCACGATCTCGGCTCACTGCAACCTCCACCTCCTAGGTTCAGGTGATTCTTGTGCTTCAGCCTCCCAAGTAGTTGGGATTACAGGTACATGCTGCCACACCTGGCTAATGTTTGTATTTTTAGTAGCGACAGGTTTTGCCATGTTGGCCAGGCTGGTCTCAAACTCCTGACCTCAGGTGATCCACCTACCTCAGCCTCCCAAAGTGCTGGGATTACAGGCATGAGCCACCATACCTGGCTAATTTTTATATTTTTAGTAGAGACAGATTTTGCCATGTTGGCCGTGCTGGTCTGGATCTCCTGACCTCAATCGATCTGCCCACCCTGGCCTCCCAAAGTGTTGGGATTACAGGCATGAGCCACCACGCCTGGTCTAAAATACACATTTTAAGCCTGGTGTGGTGGCATATGCCTTTAGTTCCAGTTAATGGGGAGATTGAGGTGGACGATCACTTGAGGCTAGGATTTTGAGGCTGCAGTGCGTAGTGGTCATGCCTGTTACTAGCCCCTGCACTCCAGCCGGGGCCACAGAGGGAGACCTTGTCTCTGGGAGAACCCTCCCCCACAATCATATACACATTTTAATGTTTTTTTACTAAAAACTAGAAATAACATCTTATTTGTTATTCATTGACTGTTACTCAGCAAACACGTAATGCATGCCTACTGTCTACCAGGCATCATGCTAGTCGTGAGATAAAATTTTGAACACTGTACACGGCTTTCCCTCAGCATGTCTCAGGCAGACATGGGGCCAAATAATTACCGTAGATCCTAATCACTTCTGTGATTGTATCATCAACAAAGGGCTGTCGGGTCACAGAAAAAGGACTCAGCTGAGAGAAATCAGAGACATATTCAAATAGGAGATGTTGCCTGGGTTGCATCTGGAAGGAGATGTAAACATTCACTAGGAGAAAAAAAGGAGGAAGTGCATGATTCCAGGCAGCGTGCTTTATACAGGCAAAGGTGTGGAGTATAAAAGCGCCGCTTGTCTTGGGAAAGCACCAGGAAGTTGACTAGGAAGCCTTGAGAGATAGACTGGGGTATGTTTCTGAAGGCCCTCATAGTACATGCCATTATCAGTGAATGAATTATTCAAGAATTTCAGCTACTCTAGATGCTACTTAATTGACTAGCTTTTGGTGTTCATGAAAGTAATGGATATGACCTTATGGGAACATGACATGGCTAGACTTCAATTTTAACCTCAGCAATTTTGCATATGTTCTTTGCCACAACAGTGATTAGATAAGAATGGAGCTGCATCAATTTTTTTTTTTCTATTTTCTTGAGATGGAGTCTTGCTCTGTCACCCAGACTGGAGTGCAGTGGCGCGATCTCGGCTCACTACAACCTCCGCCTCCTGGTTTTAAGTGATTCCCCTGCCTCAGCCTCCCGAGTAGCTGGGACTACAGGCACGCACCACCACACCCAGCTAATTTTTGTATTTTTAGTGGAACCAGGGTTTCACCACATGGGCCAGGATGGTCTCGATCTTCTGACCTTTGACCTCATAATTTACCCACCTTGGCCTCCTAAAGTGCTGGGATTACAGGGGTGAGCCACTATGCCTAGCATGGAACTGCATCAGTGTGTATCTCCACAACTATGGAAAAAATGCTACATGTGCTAATTTACTACAGTACATATGGTTGAGCACCTGTCAGGCACTTGGGTAGGTGAGGGAGCTATGTCTTGTTGTCCAGAGGACAGCTGGCCACCTCCTGAACTTCTCTTGCTTGTCTCTGGAGCACTTCACACATCTGAATGGCAACTCTTCATCTCGCTCCAATTTTGCTTTTCCCCTAGATGTTCTCCTCTCTTTAAGTAGCTCTTCCAGCCAGAATCTACGGGATATTCTTGACATCTCCTTCTTTCTCACCCGTCACATCTAGTTCTTCATCAAGCTATGTCATTTAGATTCTAAAATATATCTGGAAACCTTCCACTCCCTCATCCCCACTGCCAGCAACCTGGCAACCACATCTCTTGCCAGTAGGCTCCTAGCTGGTCTCTCTTTTTACGTTTTTTGCTCGCCCACCCCAATCCTTCTTTCAAGATAATAGCCAGAAAGATCTTTCAAAAATCAGGTGAGATAACTTCCCAGTTCAGACCTTCTGTTGACTTCCTATTGCACTTAAAACCCAAATTATTTACCGTGACCCACAGGAGCCTGTGAGTGGTGGCCCCTGCCTCCCTCTCCAGCCTCATCTTGTATCACTTCTCTCTGGCTCACTTCGTTCCAACCACAGAAGCCTTTTTTCATTTTCCCGGCCTGCCACCCCACAGCCTTGGCACGGGCTGTTTCTACTGCCAGCAATGCTCTTCTTTGCAACATTAGCCAGTTAGTATTGTCTCAAGGTTTATATCTTGGCTTAAATATTTCCTCCTTGAAGGGATCTCTCCTTCACCAGAGTCTACTCTACATGAGGATTCCTGGGAATTTTTTTCACAACCTCATGTCTTTCCCCTCATTGCCCATGCCACAGTTTGCACCGAGGTGTGCGTTTGCATTCGAACCTGTGTAATGACTGCCTTCCCCACCAGACAGGTCGCTCCCTTGGGAGCATGTGTGTGCTCTTTTCCCATCTATTTCCAAAGCTTAATACAGTGCCTGGCCCACAGTAGGTCCTAAAACATTATAAAGGACTCATTTGAAAACAGAAAGACAGATCTTTGTTTTAAGTTGATAAATCTTTAAGTATAAATAAAGATGTAGGAAATTAAGAAAATCATTTCTACATTTTTTAAATGATTGGAACTATTTTAGAAAAGTATACAGCTTAGTATTACCTCACTAAAAGAAAAAATGTGCATGTGGTTATTGTATGGTTAGAGGCTATTTTTAAAACGGAGCGATGATGTTTTTTATGGAAATCCTGAGTTATATAAATGAACCGCTCTTTTTATATATTTAGAGCTCAGTTCACCAAAATGTTTAAATTCTTGGCTTCGCTCTTTAAACCTACTACAAAGATCACATTAGAATTCATTTTAATAGACATTGTAAGCACAGTATCCAATCTCATTTTATCACGCTGGGCTCTTTTATTATCAGAGTCGCAGGAAGCTGAGCCTGAGGCTGCTCCACACGTTGTGGGGTGTATCCAGGGCTGGGGTTGGTGCCAGCTCTATTGTTTATGTAATATTCTCTCCACCTTCATCTGTGGTATGCAATTGGTATTGACTTTTAAGAAACTACTTCTCTGACCCGATCTCCCAGTTGGAAAAAAAAAAAAACCTGCCGTTGTGACATCTGGCTAGGAAAAAAGGGATCAAAGAAGCATAAGGAAAGAAATTAGGAGACCTTATTTAATAAGTAGTTTCATGCCTATTCGAGCTGTTAGAGGGAAGAGTGACTTCTTCAAGTTCACCATTCCTTTACCCCTGGAAAAAGCTCAATGAACCCTAAAAGTCTCTTGCATTTTCACTATTGATTTCTAATGTTGTGTCTGTTAAATGTAAGCTTCTAGCAAAATGCCTTTTTAGGTCTTTAGGAAACTTTACAGATCATGAGTAAATACTGTTCACCAAAATTAAGATAAAATTTGATTACTGGTAATGTTTCTGTTCATTTCTGTTTAATTTTTTCTTAAAGAGTAAGACAGTAATCTTTGACAATTTTTTTTCCCCCACTTTTAGGTATATTACTTGAGGAGTTTTTAAATATTGTAAGGAAGAAGAAGGAAGCTCAACGATATCGGAATGAAGTAAGACACATCTTCACAGCCTTTGACACGTACTGTAAGTGTCTCTGAAATGTTTTGATATAAAAAATTGCTATTAAGGGATTGCAAATAGGAATGTATACCCAGTAAATCAAGCATATAATATACTTGGAAGATTAGATTACTGTATTCATTAGCTGTTACCTTAGGTATTGGTGCATGTTTTTTTCTGCATCGTGATCTTAAATTCTTAACATTTATCATGGATGAAATAGTATTTACAGGCTGGATGTGGTGGCTCACACCTGTAATCCCAGCACTTTGGGAGGCCGAGGCAGGCAGATCACCTGAGATCAGGAGTTCAAGACTAGCCTGACCCACATGGAGAAACCCCGTCTCTACTAAAAATACAAAAATTAGCTGGGCATGGTGGTGCATGCCTGTAATCCCAACTACTTGGGAGGCTGAGGCAGGAGAATCACTTAAACCCAGGAGGCAGAGGTTGTGGTGAGCTGAGATTGTGCCATTGCACTCCAGTCTAGACAACAAGAGCGAAACTCTGCCTCAAAAAAAAAAAAGTATTTACAGTTATATAGTTGTATTAATATATTATACCTTGATGGTCATGGAGACAGCAAAAGGACTGGCCATGGGGGATACAGGACATGAACCACCTGTGGAGGTGTGGGAGACTGTGTGGCTTCTTCGTCAACTCTTGCTCTGACCTACATATGATTGGTGGAATTATTTTCCCACATAGGGTGTGGCTAAGAGGAGTGGCTGCAGATCCCCTAAGCCCCATAGATCATACACAGAATGAAAAGACTGGTGGAGACTAGGTTCAATGTCTTGGCTGCCGTTATGGTTTCCTTCTAAATATTAACATTTCGTGATTCTAATACCAGGCAAGGGAAAAGACGTGAATTTTGAAGACTGCATTGTTTTGGCAACTCACAAAGACTCAAAGTCTAACACCATTGTTACAGTGCACGTCTCATATATGAATCCCTGGGACTGAGAGAATAAGCAAAATGATAGGGTCACAAGTGACCTTCAGGATCAGCTGGGGCTACACTGAAGTAAAGTATGATTAGATTCTTAAATTCTTCAGATGAGGCAACCTCAGATTACCTTATGTGTAAAATGAATCATAAATTACTGCTTTTCTCCTAGCGATATATTAACATAAGTTTTGCACCAATGTTACAGCTAAAGTAACATTTCAAAGGGCTCATCAAAGTAAGTGAATATTTTTTATTATTTTCAAATAGATCGTGGATTTTTAACTTTGGAAGATTTCAAAAAAGCATTTAGGCAGGTGGCTCCCAAATTACCGGAAAGGACTGTTCTCGAGGTATTCAGGTAAGGCATCAAAATCTTTCTGTACACCCATCTTTTGATGTACCATTTGCTTTTACACATTTTTGACTTTATGGGAAACACTTATTTATTCTGATTTTTCAGCCAAGAACATTTTTGTCTTGCAGCCTAGTGTCATGATCCAGAAGGGAAATCTATAGTTAGCTGTGACTCCTTCCATCCCCTTGACAGTGGACTGTAAAGGGAGGGGGGCTTGTACACCAGCCAGGTGCATACAAACACTTGTGAGTTAGGGGCAGGAGAGGAACAGGCAGAAAATGGAACTTCTTCAGATACTTCTGTATGAACCAAGGGAAAATGAAGCTTTATTAATATTTAGCATGGATGCTGGTGTCCTCACACGGTCTGTATTTCAGACAAACACAGGTTACATGTAGCTCTTGAGTTGTCTGGAAAAAATAGTTGGAGTTGCCTAACGGTAGCCTCCTCCTTCACTTGCTTTCAAAGCTACTGACATACTGCAGGTCACACGGACCTGATAAAGTGGATTTAAAGATTACATTATGTGGTTCTTTTTTTTTTTTTTTTGAGACGGAGTTTCGCTTGTTACCCAGGCTGGAGTGCAATGGCGCGATCTCAGCTCACCGCAACCTCCGCCTCCCGGGTTCAGGCAATTCTCCTGCCTCAGCCTCCTGAGTAGCTGGGATTACAGGCATGTGCCACCATTCCCTGCTAATTTTTTTGGATTTTTTAGTAGAGACGGGGTTTCACCATGTTGACCAGGATGGTCTCGATCTCTTGACCTTGTGATCCACCCGCCTCGGCCTCCCAAAGTGCTGGGATTACAGGCTTGAGCCACCGCGCCCGGCCATTTATGTGGTTCTTATGAACGAATCCTGACAAAATGGACAAGTGGCTTAAAAGCAGTTTCTGATCGGAAACTGCAGATTGAAGGTAGTATGAATAGTGCAAATGCATGCTGATGGGAGAACACAGCAGAGCTGTCTCTTCTGTGACTCCCAGCATGAGCTCTTCATCAACCCTGTTACCAGGTGCATTCATTAGGGTTTGGCACACCAGCAAGAGCCAGAAAACCCAAAAGAACGGAAACTCAAAAAAGATAGAAATTCATTTCTCTGTCACGGAAACATAGGCAAACCCGGGCTTAATGTCGACCACACAGTCGGGAAGGATCCAGATTGCCCCTTTTCTTGTTACTTTGGCTGCATCAACACCTGGCTTCTCCCTCTTACTTCAAGATGGTGGCTTAAGTTTCAGCAGTCAAATCTGAATTCCAGCTGGTAGGAGGAAAAGAAAGCAGGAAGGTATTCCTCTCCTTTTCAGGGTATATATGTTTTCTACTTACAACCCAGCGACCAAAACTTGGTTCCAAGTTCATGCATAGCTGCAAGGGGGAAAGGGTTCTGGAAAACGTAGTCTTTGCTCTGGGCAATGATGAGGCCAGAATAGAGGTTCTGATGCTAAGGAAGAGGGAGGGAGAATGGGTATTAGGGAACATCGGGAACATCGGGCAGATGTTCCCATTTGGGATAAAAGTTAATTTAATGAGATATGACCAGAACCAGCCCTTGTCAATAGAAATTATTAAGCAGGTTACTTGAATAAGGATTTGCAGTCATTATCATTAAAATATATGAAATTCATTTGCTGCAACGTTGACAAGCTACTGAGCAAGCTACTGGAGAAGAGCAAAGAAGTTAAAGCCAGATGCATACAAAGTGCTTTTAGGAAAATATTACTTAGTTGATTTTGTAAAAGCAAGTTCTTTAAAATGTAGCATCTTTGTATTTTGTGATGAGATAGGTAATATCAATGTCCTTCTACCACGCAAAAGTTGTTTTCAACAAAGGAACTAAAACTTGATAGTCATTTTCTTTTTACAAAAAGACAAGTTTTCCAAATTTGTTGAACTTTATGTGTTAATTGGTTTTAGTAGATACTACCTTGTAGAGATTTTTGAAAAATATATTTAAATATGGCCATTCAAGATACAGGCAATGTTTTAACAACAAATGAGAAAGTAACACCTTCTTAGAAGAAAAGCTGTGTTACAGGGAGAAGATTTTTGGAATACACATTTGAAATTGTTATTTTAAAACATAATATATGTCACCTGTTAAAACTCTTCATATCTGCATGTTTGATACATTTAAAATGGAATGTCCTGGCTGGACATGGTGGCTCGCACCTGTAATCCCAGCACTTTGGGAGGCCAAGGTGGGTGAATCACCTGAGGTGAGGAATTTGAGACCAGCCTGGCCAATATGGTGAAACCCCATCTCTACTAAAAAGACAAAAATTAGCTGGGCATAGTAGCATGCGCCTGTAGTCCCAGCGACTCGGGAAGCTGAGGCAGGAGAATCGCTTGAAAACCTGGGATGCAGAGGTTGCAGTGAGTTGAGATCACACCATTGCACTCCAGCCTGGGTGATAGAGTGAGACTCTGTCTGAAAAAAAAAAAAAAAAAAAGAATGTCCTAACCTAGCTAAAAATATCTACAAAGTTGTGGTGATTTTAGCATACGATTTTTAAAAACAGAAATTTGGCCTGGTGTGGTGGTTCATACTAGTAATTCTAACACTTCAGGAGGCCAAGGCAGGAGGATTGCTTGAGGCCAAGAGTTCAAGACCAGCCTGGGCAACATAGATCCTATCTCTACACAAAATACAGAAATTAGCCAGGTGTAGTGGCATATACCTGTAGTCCTAAGCTACTATCTACTTGGGAGGTTGAGATGGGAGGATCTCTTGAGCCCAGAAGTTCAACGCTGCAGTGAATCATGGTTGTACCACTGCACCCCAGCCCAGGCAACAAAGCAAGACCCTATCTCTTTAAAAAAAAAAAAAAAAAAAATATATATATATATATATATATATATGTGTGTGTGTGTGTGTGTGTGTGTGTGTGTGTGTGTATGTGTGTGTATTTTTATATGTCCATCTTTCTGTGGGTTAGGGTATATCTTGAAAATGTATTAAAGTATTAGAGCAATTGAATTATATATATAATTACATGTACTATATAATTGTAATATTAATGTGTATAATGTATATATGTAATATATAACATAATTATAGATATTTAAGTATATATGTAGTATACAATATATAATTAATTGCACATAATTATATTTATATATGCAATAAATATTAATATGATTGTATATAATTATATATGATCGTATAGCATATAATTAATTATATTTTATTAGTAATTTCATATATAATTACATATGGTTAACAGATATATAATTATATATATAAAATTCATTAGCAAAATATCAGGAAAGATAGACATTTGCTAGCTGAATTTTCGTTGGCATTAGCAACAAAATAATAATTTAAGAAAACAAAACAAATTTTAAAACCTCTAAACCTTTGTATTATCAGAGGATAGAGTCAGTGGCAGGATGACCTTTTCCCATTTAGATCTCTGTATTTTTATGTGGTACCTATATTATCCATTAAAACTAAGTATCAAAACAAATTGAGCTTTAAATTGCTTGGATATAAAATATTAAGCCAAAATGTTCAGAAATAAGAAATATATTAAAGTACATTGTTCTTGTTAAATATTATAATTTCTAGTGGCAGCAAAAAGTTACTTGCCATTAATAAAATATTTTTTATCTTTAATTCTTCAGAAATTTCTGTATTTTAACCATGTACATGGTATGTTAATATAGTAACACATGTGCTTATCTATAAATAAGTATATTCATGTTGTGGAGTATATGCCCAGAAATCTGGTACTTACTAGGGTTGTGAGACTAAAACAGTTTGGAAACCACTGCAACATCCAGCCAAAGTAGATACTTCATTGATTGAATATGGGCTATTTAAACTCTCAATTGTATTTTTATAATACCACAACCCCCATATTAGACTAAATAATGAATAACACATAGGAAAGGAAATTGCGAACTCAAAAAATATTTCCTGTTTGTGTAAATTGAAGTAGGCCAAACAGAGATGTCTGACCTAACACACATACCCTTATTTCGGTCAATAATAAAAAAATCAGCTGCTGAGGCTGTTAGTGATGCAAAATTATGTAATGTTTCTAAGGTTAGATGTTCACTTTTTGAGATGCTTGAGTAGTTTTTGACTGAATTAACCAGCATGTATGGGTTTTACTACCCAGGTCCACAATTCACTGCACAAGTCCAGAAGAAAAGCTGATCTCTGAAAAGCACTAGAAGAAGGTAGCTAAAGAGGGAGAATTCTAATTAGGCCAGGGTCCTCTGTGGCTTGAATGACTGAAGACGTTTTTATAATCTTCAATTCAGTGACTGCCAGATTCTTTCCAAAGAAATTTCTAGAGATGAAGGGTAGGTTATTTCAGAAGTACTTGCCTATGTTACACTTTAATTTTATAAACAATTCAACCAAACAAACAGAAACAAACAATCCAAAGAAAGAGACTTGGACATAGGCATCAAGGAATCATTTCACTTTACAATTTGATAGAAACACTGGTTTATCATTCATTAATTCTGAAAGCTTTAGGAGTACTAAATTTAAAATACTTTTGTAAGGTTTGTGAATTGCTGCCTTCTGGTGACATTTACTTTAGTGATTTTTATCATTAATGAAAGCGATGTGTTTTTTTAGAAAACATTATTAGGGTTCATAACATTCACATGCTGTTGTGCAACCATAATCTCTTTTGTTCTAGTCATAGTTCTACAGTTGAATGAATTCAAAGCTCACCTCCAGGCCTTTTGCTATGGTTTCTGCTTAGCTGAAGTTTGTCCTGAGCTAGGGGGTCATAAGAATTATATTCTCCACTGTCCTTCATGTTCAAAAAATGCTTATCTGGGTCATTGTACTTGAATAAAAATATGTAATGGATTGAATGCTAACATTTTTTTACTCACATTCTTTTTCTTTGAGAATATTGGTTATGCTTATATTGGAAGTCCTTTTAAGTTTTTTGCTAATTTCTATTTTAATTGCTTGCTTTTCTCTTAGTATATTACCATGTATCAATGTATTTTCAACAATATCTATTCTCCTTTG